AACAATTGTGTTTGAGAAGATAATCAAAATGAACTTTTCAGAGACAAGCACAGACACAGGCAAGATTATGTCATTAATATTATATTTTACTGGACTACGTAACCCCAAAATGTCTCTTTTTCATCTTAAATGATTGAACTTGAAGAAGAAACAGTAAACTTGAGGGGTCTTTATTAAAGTATTCAAAATCCTTAAAGCCTTCAACTAAGTAATTCAGAAGATTTCTTCACTATTAATAGTGAAACATGAACCAGAGAGGAAAAGAGACAAATATGTGCATTTAAAACCACAACAGGAGGCGTTCTTTTACCCAAAGGGTTGTGGGAGTCTGGAACAAGCTACTCAGCTGTGTTGTTAAAGACGTCAGTCTGGCTTCTTTCAGGAAACATTTGAATTAATTTACTCTGGGCCAGTTAACTTCAAATGACAAAACATTTTAGACGATCTGAATGACCTCTTTTCATTTCACTGTAGTCTTTTATTTTCTTGTGTTCAGAGAAAACACCACATTGCACTAAATGAATAGAGATTAAGCCTCATAAAAACTTCACCTACTGTATGACAGAAATGAAGCATATTCCTTAGATTAAAGAGTGAATGTTAATCTGACCTGGTTTATGTTTCTTAGGTCTAAGGTGGATTGAGATCATAGTCTACTAGGCGATACAGGCTAGAGTTTTATCATTGAATATCATAAATATAACAAGTACATGCATGTACAGTGCTTTGTAGAAAGAAAGACCTGAAAACTGCTGTCCATCAATGATCCCCAACCCATATGACAGATCTTGAGGAAGTTTGTGAGGAAGAAAGGGGGAAATTGCACCATTCCACTGTGTAAAGCTGATTGAGACTTTTCCATCTATCTCCACAACTATAACTCTACAACAAGCTGCTGTATTGTAGCCAAACGTGTTTCCACCAAGGATTAGCTCAGGCAGGTGAATATTTATATAATCAACATATTTTGGTTTGTTTTTCTTTGCAGCTTTGGCTGATATTCGTTCTTCATCCATAAAAGTGTGCAGTATAAGCATTTACACTGATGGTAAAAGAGATCACACTCATGACACACATTCTCACTCACCTTCCTCTTTCCTTCCTTCAAGATCACTACAGCCATTACCCAAAACCTGGTCTTCATAAAGCTCCTTGAAAGAGAAGATAACTGCAATGTGTTGATGAAGAAGTTTAACATTGGCTCATTGACAATCTATGATATTAAGGCCCAGGTGGCAGATCTTCTAATGCCTGTGGCCAGTTCTGAAACACTGTGAAACATACTTTGCATAAACCAAACCTGGTACACCTAGATAAAGTGTGGTACTGTATGAATTGTTTTGTACTAAGGTAGGAGAGGAGTTGTAATGTACAATGTTTATAATTTTAAATGTATTTTTTAGATAACTGCAAAACTTTGAACAATATTTATTTGTAAGTATTTTTTTACTTACAGTGAATCCCAGAAAAATGAACCGTACTGTTTGTAAATCAATAAAGTCATTACTGTAATATGATAACTATTGAGTACAGAACAATATGCTTAAGTACTTTATACTAAATAATTACTAAATATGTTTTTCATTACTATATCACATCTTAACAATTTGGAGCAATGTTTAACTGACATTTTTTTTTCAAAACATCATCTAACAGATTTTACTGTAATCTGTACTCACCTCAGTGACTTCACTATATCTATGACTGAATAAGAGATTCCTGGTTCTTGCACTATGAACTAAATGTTTGGTGTCTACAGACTCCTCACCTCATCTGCGATGTCCTCCTGATCGCTGTCTTCCTGGACCCCATGAGCCATCAGCTTGTGCAGAGCAGAGGGGAGGAAGACAATATCAGCTCTGTGCTGGGGCAAGGTGGGGTCTCTGACATCACACAGGAACAGAACTGTGGTCAGTGCCACCGCAGTGGAACAGAACTCTGGTCAGTGTCACTGCAGTGGAACAGAACTGTGGTCAGTGTCACCACAGTGGAACAGAACTGTGGTCAGTGTCACCGCAGTGGAACAGAACTGTGGTCACTCTCACCGCAGTGGAACAGAACTGTAGTTAGTGTCACCGCAGTGGAACAGAATTGTGGTCACTTTCACCACAGTGGAACAGAACTGTGTTCAGTGTCACCGCATTGGAACAGAACTGTGGTCACTCTCAACTGTGGTCACTGACCACAAGAGAACACAACTGTGGTCACTCTCACCACAGTGGTCAGTCTTACATTGGTGGAATAGAGCTCTGGTCACTCTCACTGCAGGGATAAACTGATGGTCAACCCAGGAAACTGATACAGCTGTACAATTTTGGTTCAGTTTTTAAATTCAAAGAACTAGTATTCAGTAGTTTGGTTATATCATAATAAATGTGAGAGACATGCGGAGTGTATTTTATGTCATTCACTTGGCTGAGGGAATTGTCAGCTGCACCAGAAGGCGTCCAGACCTCACCTTTATTACAAGAATTCAGCCAGTGGTGTAGAGGGATCAGTGGGGGAGGAATTGTCAATGAGCCAATGAATCTGAATCAACCCCCTCAGCCCTGCTGCTGAAGCTGACCGCAGGTATTCTGGGTGAGGCTCAGGGGTCTGCAGACTCTACACTGCGAGTAAGTAACCCAGGCCAGGGCCCTGTCCTCTGTAACCATAACCTGCAGTGGCTCTGTGGCTAAGGATCTGCGCCTGTGGCTGGAAGGTTGCTTGTTCAAATCCTGCGGCTGGCAGAGGAATCCTCCTCCGTTGGGCCCCTGAGCAAGGCCCTTAACCCCAACTATTCCAGGGGTGCTGTATTAATGGCTGACCCTGTGCTCTGACCCCAAGCTTCTCTCTCCCCTCCTGTGTGTCTCATGGAGAGCAAGTTGGGGTCTGTGAAAATACAAATTCCTAGTGCAAGAACTTGTATATGGCTAATAAAGTTATCTTTAGGGCAGAGGGGTGGCACTGTGGCTCAGGAGCTGTGCCTGTGGCTGGAAGGTTGCTGGTTCAAATCCAGCAGCTGGCAGAGGAATCCTACTCCCTTGGGCCCCTGAGCAAGGCCCTTAACTCCAACTGCTCC